CCCATAATTTGATGTCCCCCCCACCCACAGCGACAAGAACCACATGCACTTCGGCGCCATCACCTGCGCCATGGGCATCCGCTACAAGTCCTACTGCTCCAACCTGGTGAGGACGCTGATGGTGGACCCACCTCAGGAGATGCAGGACCACTACGCCTTCCTCCTCCAGCTCCAGGAGCAGCTCCTGAAGGAGATGCGGCACGGTGAGGACCTCCCGGGAGGTTCTCCGGGGGTTCGGGACCTCGGCGGGGGTCATCACCTGCGCCATGGGCATCCGCTACAAGTCCTACTGCTCCAACCTGGTGAGGACGCTGATGGTGGACCCACCTCAGGAGATGCAGGACCACTACGCCTTCCTCCTCCAGCTCCAGGAGCAGCTCCTGAAGGAGATGCGGCACGGTGAGGACCTCCCGGGAGGTTCTCCGGGGGTTCGGGACCTCGGCGGGGGTTCTCTGGTGGGCGCGGTGGGGGACGTGGGTTACGGTGGTGGCATCTCCCCGGGGTTCGTAGGGGCGAAGCTGTGCGATGTCTACGGCGCCGTGATGGACGTGGTGAAGAAGCAGAGGCCGGAGTTGCTGGGGAAGATCACCAAGAACTTGGGGTGAGGAGGAGGAGGAGAAGGAGGAGGAGGAGGTGGAGGAGAAGGTGGAGGAGGAGATGGAGAAGGTGGAGGAGGAGATGGAGAAGGAGGAGGAGGAGATGGAGAAGGTGGAGGAGGAGGAGAAGGTGGAGAAGGTGGAAGAGAAGGAGGAGATGGAGGAGGAGAAAGTGGAGAAGGAGATGGAGAAGAAGAAGGTGGAGGAGAAGAAGGTGGAGGAGAAGGTGGAGTAGATGAAGAGGAGGAGGAGGTAGAGAAGAAGGAGGAGGAGATGGAGAAGGTGGAGAAGGAGAAGGTGGAGGAGGAGGTGGAGGAAGAGGAGGAGAAGTTGGAAGAGGTGGAGAAGAAGGTGGAGAAGGAGATGGAAGAAGAGTAGGAGAAGAAGGTGGAGGAGGAGGAGAAGGAGGAGGAAGAGGAGGAGAAGGTGGAGGAGGAGGAGGAAGAGGTGGAGGAGGAGGAGGAGGAGGAGGAGGAGGGGGCGG